TTTCTGCTACAACTCTCTTGAAGTGAGGTACCCAAAACCGGACACAGTACTCCAGAGGAGGCTTCATCAGTGCCAATAGACTGCCAGGTATGTTACTGGCCATTTTTGCAGCAACATTACATTATTGGCTTATCTTCAACTTCTGGTTCACCACAACCCCCGGGTCCTTTTCTACAATACTACTGCCTAGCCAGTCGTTCCCCAGTTTGTATTTGTGCATGCAATTGTTCCATGTTAAGGTCACGACTTCATACTTGTCCTTACTGAATTTCATTTGATTGATTTCAGACCATTTCTTCAGTTTATCAAGATCATTCTGAATCCTAATTCTACCTTCAGGAATGTCTTCAACTCAACCCAACTTAGTGTCATCTATAAATTTGCTTCGTGTACACACAATTCCATCCTCCAAATCATTAATGAAACTGTTGAGCAATACTGGATGAAGGACAGAGACATTGGGAACCCCAGTAGAAGCCCGTTTCCCATTAGACACCGTGCCATTGACTATTATTGATTATTGACAACTATTATTTGATATTTTTTTACTATCTCCTGAGAGGCTTTTTAATAAAGGAGAACGCAAAGCGTACAATGTTCTTTTGGGGGATTCAGGAATATTCTCATGATTATTTCAATTTTGAATTGTTTTGGTATAGTTAGGAGGAGCTGCATGATCAAACTGCATATAATTTTACTTCATAAAATGAAGTTTGTGTCTCAGAATATACAGTTCCCTTATTTGGTGTGTAGATGGACTTTCTGGGATGGTTATCATATTTTTTATGCACAATACTGAACCACTGACCATAAAAATCAGTTATTGATTACCATAATTCTAACAGAAAGCACCAACACATAACATTTACATAATTATTTTATAGATATATTAAACTGTCAAAAAAAAAATATTTTCAGTATAATTACACAAAGAGCCAAAAGCAGAATTCAGAACAGTAAAAGACTACAAGGTATCCAGCACAGAAGTAGTTAGCATCATATCAAATACAATATTCAGAACTATGCACAGACTGGAGAATGATTTAAACATAGAAGAAAATCTTCTATTTGAAAACAAAATATGTTTGTGGCAGCAACTTCTCCAGCTCTCACCAGTTAGAAGTACAAGCACATCGGAAATCACTACTGATACAAAATATATGGATTGTATTGAACAAGTTTGTGGACAGACTTCTTAGAGAGCTACTAATATGAAAATCTCCCTATACCTGTAAACACCAGGTATCAGTAATACTGAAAATTAAGATCTTATTGAATGGAAGCAAAAGAAACTCACTCCAAAATACTGCTTCATTTCACATCAGGGGAATCCTTTCTTTCAAGTATCCATGTCATAAAGCTATTTTGAAAAAATGTACCTTTTATCTTGCTCTTCCCTGAAAGAAAACCTATACAGGATTAAATGCACATCAGTACTGACCCATGAAAACTTACAGAGGAAAGTCTTGCATATTAGTTTCCAAATATTGTGATAACCATTCTATTAAAAAAAGAAACAAAAAACAAGAGTCCATGTCAGTGAAATACTTCTTATTGACTACTCAGTAGCATTCCCAACGGATCCATGTTGGAAGCCTGCATCCACAAGGAATTCTGCCAACTTTCATAGTACTCTACAAGGCCATAAGGCTTCACCACCATGGACCACGGTGGTAAAACTGGCACAAAAGGATGAATGTTTATATCAACTGTGATATTAGATGAAGGTGAATAAGACCACACCTATACAGTAAATTTATGTGCTCTGGTCTAAAGCAGAGTTTGCAAACAGCTGTGCTGTTCTGGGAAAGCTGAATCCATGCAGCACTTTGGATGAGCTAAACAGCATTACTGAACACAGTAACACTGCCAGTCAGCACTGTGTGAGCATGGTTATGTGCTTCTGGCTTAGGAAGCAGCTCATGTCAAGCAGCACAGCATGGCTGTGGCTGCTGGTCTGGATCACAGTAAATGTACCTTGAAGTCTTGGCCTATGTCTTCTGTCTCAATGGACATGGGACTGTTCAAGCTGATCAGCCCCTTCTTCCATGTTATTTTCAAGTGTCACCCTGTCATGGATTTATTGCAAATACTATGACATATGATGGTTTTAGATCTCCAGTACCTGGAGTTCTGAGATTCTATAAGAAGCTGGAAGGGCAGACGGATGGAAGCACAGATAGAAGGACAGAAGCAAGCTAAGTTTTTAGGCCTTTTGGTTGTAAAGAAAATCTACAAACATGATCCCAGTGAATCGTGAAGGCTCAGACCAGATCAAACAACCCATAAATAAAGAAACATACCCAAATGATGTGTTTCAATTAAAAATGTGATTAATTTTAAACTGAATCTCTCTCTATGGCTTGACTTGTGGTTTGGTTTTTTGGGGTTTTTTTTTAAATGATCAAGGTTGAATATATGCCATTTATTCCCTTGCTCACTTATTACCATTCTATCCAAATCAAATCTCCACATACCTCTCAACTTCCTTAGAAATGTATTTGTATACTAATAGCAGCTATTTGGTGGCTGTTTTAAGCAAGAATGATTTGCTCTTTTGAACAATAATATGAAGTCTGGAGGATGTCCCCTACTAAATTCTAACAATTTTGAGGTGGATCAAATTACTAAAAGCTGCATAAATCGTTCCCTCAGTACTTTTCAGCAAAATGATTTATGCAGCAATTAGTAATATGACTTATCTTAAAATTGTTATTTATTTTCCACAAGGCAGCAAGACATGAATTTGCAATAACAATTTGGCAAATATGTATCAAACAACTCAGTTGGAAACAATAGCAATAATAAGATAAATCAGTGCCCCATTCTCAAAGTCAAGTCACCATCACCTTTCTAAAATAGAGGTCATGCAAGCTGCCCACTGTTCATGTTTCTATGCACTAGTTAAAGTGATCTCCTTAGTAACTGTGTGTGAGGGGGTGGGGGCGTGAATGAAGCCCAAAACCTTTATAATCTTATCATGAGGAAGGGAAAGGGGGTCTAGATGGGGATTCATGTGGCACCCTTCTACCTTACTGCAAACATACTCAAAAATACCTTGGGACATATATAACAATAGCAAGTGCATGCATCCAAACCTAGGGCCTTGAAGCTTGGACCAAAAGTGCCCTGAAAGTAGGAGGGAAGAGCAATACTGGGCTTTAGACAGGGATGGAACAGCCGTCCCTGCCCAACAGCCCAAACACTCCATGTACCAGGAAGTGGGAAAGAAACAAGTGCTCCTGCTGTATAGGAGCAAGAGAGGTAATAAAGCATGCCACTGCCAAGCTGGCACTCATTGCTTGAGCATCAAGTTGGCGAGGTTCTGCTTCCCTCTGAAGAGGGAAGTGCTGAGTCTTTCACACAGCAATAAAGGAAAGCAAAGTGTAAATACATGCTTAAAAACTGAGAAGTAAACTGAATTCATTACAGTGAAAATAACCTGTTTCAAGTTGACAGTGTTTCATAGTTTCATAGTTTCATACATATATAGTAATCTAAATGAAAGTTCTACCAGAAAGATCTGAGGCTGCCAGGAAGAATGAAATTTCTGCTTAGACAATTAAGGATGCATAATTGCTAGCAATACATAGGTGCTTAAACTGTATCATTAAACTAATGGAATGAAGTGGTCACTGTAATGCCATTTAATGCTGTAACTGTTATAGGTAAAATATCAAACACATATATTTTGTTATAGAATATGGATTTTTAAAACAATTTATTCCTTTAAATCAAGGACCACAGGGTGCTCAACCTCTGGCCCATGGGCCAAATGCAGCCTGCGGATCCATCACATCTGGCCCATAGGGCTTCCCACAGGGCCAGAAATCTGGCAGCATGGGAGCAGTGGCCATTAGTGGGAATTGGGGCTGGAATTCCTGCCTCTCCCCCTTCTCCTCCCCCACTCCCCAGGCCAGGTCATGCCCCCCCCTTCCCTCTGTGGGGCCAGGTTAAGCTCCTTTTCCCTGTGGGGCTGCATTGGGGCCTGCCCTCCATCCCACTTTTGAGGCCAGACACTGCCCGTAGCGCCTGCCCAAGGCACCAGATCAGGAACACCAGCTGGATCCATCCTACAGAGAAACCGGGCACTGCAAATCCAGCCCTCTGGGCAAAAAGGTTGAACACCTGGCTCCTACCCTGGGGGTCTTTAAGAGGAGGCTGGATGAACACCTTGCCAGGATCCTTTGACCCCAGTACTCTTTCCTGCCATGACAAGGGGTCGGACTTGATGATCTGCTCAGGTCCCTTCCAACCCTACAAACTATGAAACTGTGAAACAACTGGTTTAGACCAGGGGTGAGCAAAATATAGCCTGTGATCCAGATTCAGCCTGTCAAGTCCTGATCCCAGCCCCAGCCCCGCCCACCCATCCCACTCCTGGACGCTGCTCTCCACCCACTCATGGCCCCAACCCTTCCACCCAGCCGAGCACACCCTGCCCTCCCAGGTCCTAGGCCAGTTTCCATAGGGACTCTGGGATCACTGGGTGGTGACAGCATGGGGTGGGGCCTGAGGCAGAGCT